GCTCCTGGCCTAGTTTGCACAGCTGATATTGAGCTTCTCCAGCGATTCTTTCCACATATGTAATCAATCTGATTCCTATGCACACCATCAGGTGAAATCCAGGTATATAACCTGCGTTTATGCCTCTTAAAAAATGTATTTGCTATGAATACGTCATTGTGCAAAATTCGATCATTCTCTCTCCAGCTCCATTTCTGTCGATATAAAATTGTCCCCTAAGAATTCAGCTGAAAAAATGAATGAGTATATGTGAAGGCAAGGGTGTGTGTGTGTGTGTGTGTGTGTGTGTGTGTGCAAAAATTTTAAAAAGTAGGTGGAGTAAAGTATACCAAAAGTTATCAGGAATAGGATGTGAGATCATTGTTCCCCCTTCATCTTCACATTGAAAGGAAAATTTACATTTGTTTTATAGTCAAACAAAACCGAACTAGGGGAGGTATTTTTTCTTTTCGGGAAAACGAAGGACATTTCACCAGAGAACAAAGCAATGTTCCAGCCTGTGGCCATGTCAGCACAGCTTCCTTTGCAGAGATCCCCTGACCTAACTACCTTGCCTCTGCACAGAGTATGCATGGGATCGATGTTTTTTGCCAGCATTCCATAACTTTTAAAAACTACGCTTTGTTCCACTTCATGATTTTGTTGTTCTGTGCCATCGAGTTGGAATTGAGTCATAGCTAACCGTCTAGCAGGTTTTGAGAGGCTGTACTTCACAGGGGGAGATTGCCCATCTTTCAACTGCAAAGCAGCTGATAGATTACGAACCACATGCCTTTGGGCTGGCAGCACAGTTCTTTACCCCTAGGCCACCAGAATTCCCTATTCATACTTAACGTTGTTATTCATAGATAATGTTGTAGTTATGTGCCATCAAGTGCAACTCATAGCAACCCTATGAACCCCAGATCTGAAACCTGTCCTATCCTGTGCCGTCCTCATAGTTACTCTAAAATCCTGAATTGCTCATTTTTTAGACTCAGACTAAGACATCTCTGCCTCCATCCACCCAAAAAGTACAGCTGACAGGTAAATGCAGCCCGCTTCATCTGACATTTGTTTTTTCTTAACATTTTTCTCTTTACCTGGTTGAGCCACCTTCCTCCTTCTGCATTTCATTGTCTTCCCAAAGGACAGTCATCTAACAACATTTCAGGTTTTGAATATGAGTTCATAATGGGCCTGTGGGACAGGCCAGGATCTGGGAAACTACCCTCTAAGGGATCATAATACAGTATACATACCACATCTCCAAGTGGAGACACCCTCACTCCCAGTTCCATCCCACACACAGAGGACACACAAATCCTATCCCTAGCTGCAAGTGTCCGCATTTTACAAAGACAGTTATCTCAGACTGAATTAAATTAAACTGAGAGCAAATAATTATTTTTGAAAATGAGAACTTGCATTCCCCTCTTACTCGTCTTGAACCTGCTTCAGTTGATCACGGGTTTCCTGCAAGTCAGATTCCAACTGTAGGTCTTGATCCCGAAAAAGAGAATTTTTGTCCTTATCAAGTGTCTCCTAGAATAAAACACAAGTTTTAAAACCTTTTAGTAGGAATATATAAAAACCACATGGATGAAATGCAAAAACATATGGGCTAAGTGAGAGTAGCTTGATTCAGGCTATAGTCTTTGTAATTACATGCTGTGCATCGGAGAGTTGAACAGTGACTACGAATGATAGAAAGAGAATTGATGCCTTTGAGCTGTGGTGCTGGAGAAGAGTGTTGAATATACCATGGACTACTAGGAGAACAAACAGGTTTGTCCTAGAGAAGGTGAAGCCAGAATGCTCCTTGGAGTCAAGGATTCTGAAACTTCATCTGACATACTTGGACATATTGCTATTGTTGTTGTTATGTACCATTGAGTTGGCTGTGACTCATAGCAACCCTATGTCCAACAGCTCTGAAGCCTGCCCTGTCCTGATCCGGTCTCACTGACTCCGACACACCTACCCCCATTATCCAAGTTACTGTATCAATCCATCTCACCTGGAGTTTTCCTCGCCTGCTCTGTCCCTCCACCCTTCCAAGCATGATGTCCTTTTCCAAGGATTGGCCCCTCCTGGCCATGTGCCCAAAGTATGTGAGATGGAGTTTCAAACTCCTACCTTCCAAGGAGAAACTTGCTAGGAGAGGCTATTCCTTGGAGAAGGACATCATGCTTCGAAAGGTGGAGGGACAGTGGAGGAAGGAGATCCTCAACTAGGTGGACTGACATGGTGAATACAGCAACGGGCTGTATGTCAGACATTGCGAGTTTGGCACAGGATAGGATAGAGTTCAGATCTGTTGTTCATAGGATTGGTGTGTGTCATAGTCAACTCAGTGGCACCTAAAAACAGCAACAATTTAGTGTCCAGGGAGCTCTGGTGGCCTAGAATCAAGGAATTGTGCTATCAATCCAAAGGCACATGTTTGAATGTATTCAGCAGAAGAATAGGCAATCTCCTCCTGTGTGATTAACTGCCTCCAAAAATCCACTGGAGGGTCAGCTATGAGTTGGTTCTGGCTTGATGGTATATAACCACAACCAACAATTCAGTATTCTGTATGGGCAGTTCAGTATCTCAGACCTAAATTACTATCATATCAATTTTCTAGTTGGGGAAGTAGAGGCCCATTGATTTGCCACACCTACTTACTGGTAGACAAAGGTGAGACCCGAGTGCAGCTCTGTCTTGGGAATAAACTCAACCTAATATGCTACCTTACACAGATGAAACTCATCGGGTCCCAATTCGCTAACTAGAATTAAATGCCTCGTTGGTTAAAAATTGTGTCTTAGCTTGAGTTACCGGAGCTGAGACAGGCAAATGATGTTCAGCCTACCTGGAGTGAGGGAATCGCGCCGTCATTTGGCTTTCCCCCAGAAGGAGCAGTAAAGGATGCCTCCAGCCAAGGCAAAAGGCGTGACTTGATTATCTCCACACCACCATAATGTCCTCCTGGAAGAACACACAAAAGTCAACAAGAGAAAGCCTACCCCACCACCCAAGCCACAGAGCAGAGGCTACAAGAAAAGGAAGAAAAGAGAGGAGCACCCTGGCTGGGAAAGGTCCTTCTCACCTTCTTGGGCTGTTACAGTGAAGATCCCAAAGAGTTGTCCCTCCAGCTTAGCAACTTGCTCAATGAGTTCCAGGCAGATACTTAAATTTTCATCACATGAATTTGTCTGAAAAGTCAAAACAGTAAACATTAGGATAATGCTTTCACTCTGTGACCCAAGGCAGGCAGACAAGGGTCTTAGAGGAACACATTGATGGGCTCTAATAAACCCCACAACAAAGACTGTGATATGTTCCCCAAAGCCTAGATCTCGTTCCTTCTGGACATGGCACTAGGCTACTTTCTCCACCTCCCGAGCAGGACATTTGGCCATGTCAGTGGGATGGGGAGTGAGGGATGTCACTTCCACTAGACCCAGAAGAGCCCTTCTTTTTTTAATACTTAAACTATTGTATGATTGAGAGAGATGGGGGGTAGGGGGAAGAGACAGACAGAGAGAGAGAAGACACTGAGATCTTTAGGTTATTTGTTACAGCAACAACACTAACTCCCTATGATCCTTTGGAAGCAAATTGCCTCTGGGTGTGTTGAAACCACCAACTTTTTGGTGAGTAGTCAGGCATTATTAACCATTCGTATCACCCAAGGACGCCATAATACAATACTCAAACTCATTGTCTAATGAATATAACTGACTCGTAACTGACCCTCCATTGGGTTTCTTTTTTTTTATACTAGTTTATTTACAAAATTAGAATATCTTGTTTTCGAGAACAGATTCTTCATACAATTTGATGGGTGGACAGAGTGAGGGAAATTGGAAGAATCCGTTGGGTTTCTGAGACTGTAAATAGTCTGGGAGGAGACTATCCATCGTTGTTCTTCAGAGTTGCTGGTGGATTCAAATCCTAAGAGAGCTGTAGCCTTTGGGTTAGTATCACAGCTCCCTATTGAATAATGAGGTGTAGTGAGTCTTTGCTCAGAATGACTTTTCTAAGCCATTGCCTTCGACTTTATCACACACTTGGGAGAGAACATACAAACAGGATGTGCTAGTCCTGCCATTTTACGGGGTTTAAATTCAACATGTTCAATGGCAGAAACTTGGAAATCTCACTATTAGCAAGAAAGAAGCAGCAGAGAATTCAGTGAGCATTCTTTCAAGCCAGAGATTGCTGACCCACTCAGACAGTGGCCTACAGGAAACCACCAGGATCTCCTTCAGAGAACCAGAGACCCAACAGAAGACAGAGCTAACCTGGGACTGCTGTCCCACAGAGCCAGAGCCTGCAGCCCTTACTTCAGCTTGTTACAGGACTTGGGAGTAGGAGGAAAAGATGCTTTAATGGGCAGGTCTAAGAACTGACCTAACAATGCAAGGCTGAAGGCTGAAGGGCCTGTGGGCACACTTTAGAAGGCGTTCTGAATGAGAGATTGTTTCCCATCTCCCCCCTGAGTTTTAACTTGTTAACCTCCCTAAGAGATCTCATAATAGTGAGTATGGTTCTGTGAGGTCTGTATAGCTATTGCAATGGACTTATGACCCAGTGTAACAATAGGTTTGCTGTTTGAATTAGCAGAAATGGGTGAGGGAGTATGGAGGACATGTCCAACCTCATGGTCATTGGGTTTGTGTTGACTTCCCCCATGTGGAGTTAGTAGAGGTCAGACCTGGCTCCATGCTGCCCTTACTCATTTTACCACTATGCCACTAGAACTTCCTATGTAAATGATACTGCTGTTTTAGGTGCCATCAGTGACGATCCATAACAACTCTCTGAACAACAGATTTGAACTTGGCCCTATCTCACCATCTTTCCAGCTTTTATAATATTCAAACTCATTGTGGTAGTCACTGTGTCTTTTGTTCTTTTGCGAACTATCTACCATTCCCAGAATGATGCATTTTTCCAAGGCCTGACAACATGCTGAAAGGATGTGAAGTGAAATTTCACTATCCTTGCCTTTCAGGAGCACTCTGGTTGGACTTCCTCAAAAGCAGTTTTGTTTCTTCATTGGGAAATTCATAGTATATTCAATATTCTTCTCCAACACCACAATGCAAAGTCTCTGGTTCTTCTTTAGTCTTCCTTATTCATTGTGAAGCTTTTAGATGCATAGGAAGCAATTGAAAATGTGAATGCTTGGATCAGACACAACTTAGTCTTCAAAGTGACATTCTTTGTTTTTAGCACTTTGGAGAGGTCCTTGAAAGCTGTATTTCCCCAGGTAAACACACATTTTGATTTCTTGACTACTGCTTCCATGACTGTTGATTGTGGATCCAAGTAAAATTAATCTTTGACAACTTTAGTCTTTTCTCCTCTATCATGATATTATTGCCTGATACGTCCAGTGATGAGGCTTTTCTTTTCTTGACAATGAGAGGTAACCGCATTAAAGGCTATAATTCTTGTCCTTCTGTATTAAGAGCCTCAAGTTCTCTTCATTTTCTACAAGCAAGGTTGTTTCATCTGTGTAACATAGGTTGATGGTGAATCTTCCTTCAATCCTGTGGCCAGATTCATATAGTCCAGTTTCTAAAGTTATTTGTTCAGCATACCAATTGACAAGGTATGGAGAATGCTCACATAATAAGACAGGGTGCCTGGAAGCAACTCAATGATAAAAGAGCTGCCATCAGAATTTACGTGAATGAGAAGTAAATTGTCATATTGATGTCTATTGGGATTAGATTCATTACTGCAGCTTAGATTGGCTAGTAAAGAGAGGAAACAAACCAATTCTCTATAAATTTATTTGTTAGATTAAGCTCCCAAGAGAGCAGGAAAACACTGTCTTGTTCAAAATCAGAAAGGGAGTACATCAGTGATGTGTCCTGTCTTCATACCTTTTTTAATCTATATCCAGAGCAGGTCACTGGGGAGGCTGGGGTTTATGAGGAGAAATATGGTATCAAGATTGTAGGAAGACTCATCAACAATCTATGTTATGGAGAAGACACAACCTTCCTTGTTAAAACTGAAGAGGACCTGAAGTGCTTGCTGCAGAAGGTCAAGGACTGTAGTTTTCAATATGGATTTAAACTCAAAATCAATTAAGACAAAGATTCTAACCACTGGGCCAATCAGCAGCACCAGGACAGATGGAGAAGAGATTGAGGTTATTAACAGGTACAGTTTGCAGTCAGGAAATCAAAAGGTGAATTGCATTAGGTAAATCTGCACTCAGAGACCTTTCCAGAGTACTAAGAAGCAATGATATCAGTCTAGAGACTGAGGTGCACCTAATCCAGTCCATAGTCCTCACAATTACTTGGTATGCATCAGAGAGCTGGATAATAACTAAGGATGATAGAAGAAGAATTGATGCCTTCGAGTTGTGGCACTGGAGAAGAGTCTTGAACATACCATGGACTGCCAAGAAAACAAATATGTCTGTCTTGGAGAGGGTGAAAACAAGTTTCTCCTCGGAGGCTAAAATTTTGAAGCTATGTCTCACATACTTTGGGCACGTGACCAGGAGGGAGCGATCCTTGGAGAAGTATTTCATGCTTGGAAGGGTGGAGGGACAGCACAGGAGAGAAAGACCCCAGATGATATGGATCGATACAGTAACTAGGGCAATGAGGGTAAGTGTATCAGAGTCAGTGAGACTGGCCTAGGATAAGGCAGGCTTCAGAGACATTGTACATAGGGCTGCTAAGAGTCACAGGAAACTTGGCAACATGTAACAACAATAACAACAAAGGGAAAGGAATGGAGATAGGCAGAGAGGATGTTTGAACACACCAGAGTAACCACAAAAGTCCCTGGTAGTAGACACACTATGGCATAAAGACAGCCAATATTCAACCACAGAGATTACTCTAAAGCAAACAATTATCTCTTAAAGATCCCATTTTCTGTGTTAATATTTAATATGCTGTTGCCACCAATTAGTGCAGATTTCTGAAACATAAGAAAATAATTCAAAAGAAGCATTAACAGCCTTCCCCCAAATCCCTATTTGTTAATTGAATAAATAAAAAGCTTCAAGGACGTAAAGATGTGGTATCAATTATTTTAACATAAGAAATGTAATCATGTCATAGCTAAAAGACGGGATTGTCAAAGGTATAGAGGATCTTTATCATTTGCCACTGCAACTACAACATGGAAAATGAGAATTCCAGAATGCCTCATTGTGCTAGTGTAGAACCTGTAGTTAGACCAAGAAGCAGGCGTTCCAAAAGAACAAGAAGATGCTGTGTGGTTTAAAACCAGGAATGGTGTGTGAGGGTTGGAGCTTTTCATCATATTTATTCAATCTGAATGCTGAGCAATTAATCTGAGAACCTGGACTATATGAAGGAGACTGGAGGAAGACTCGTAAGCAACTTGTAGTTTGCAGATAATACAGCTTTGCTTGCTGAAAGGAAGAAGACTTGGAGTACCAACTCATGAAGATCAAAATCTTCAACATTAATTACACCTCCATATAAAGGAAAAAATCTTCACAACTGGTGAATAATCATCATGATAAACAGAGAAGACACTGAAGTTGTCAATTGTTTTGTTTCATTTGGATCCACAATCACCGATCAAGAAACCAAGCAACGTCAAAACTCTGATATCATCTCATGCCAGCAACAATCGCAAAATTCAACAGAGCAGCAAACAACAAATGCTGGCCAGATTGTGGAGACACTGGAACACTTATTCATTGTTGGTGGAAGTGTAAAGTGGTGCAACCACTCTGGTTAGTATGTTATGTTCCATTGAGTCACTTGCAA